CTAGGGAATCAAACCCGCAACCTTTTGTGTAGGGGAAGACACTCCAACCGATGGAGCCACCTGGCCAGGATGTACCTTTCTTTTTTGACTGCTATAGAAAGGCAATTATGTGGCAGAAATAATTTATTTTCTATTTTAGATAAATTAATTGTAACTGATAATAATAATTTCAGTGTATTTTTCCATGAATAGTGGACAAAAATTGTCCCTTCTGAAGCTGAAACTGTTCAAATCTGCTTAAAGATTTTTCTTTTCAATAGACCACATTTATTTCCTTTTTTCCTGAACAGTTATAAAGAAGAGTTCTAAATAATGGCATCAAGAAGATATTTATGAAAGTAGATTTTTACATGAGGGAAATCTTATGAGAAAATATCCATATTAGCCAAATGTGCATAGTTATACAAGATATACACTCTGTAGTTGAATGAAACTTATAAATCAAGAAATCACAAGCAGAGTGTTTTTCTTTATGGTTCTCTATCACAATTTAATTGCAATAATTTTTTATATGACTGTAATTTCCTATTTGCCTTTGTATGCTCTGTCATTCCTGAAGATGTCTGTTTAAAAACAACAACTTTTAAGAAAACACTTGGGAGGGGATGGTGGTGGTGATGGATTGAGCTATATGAATAATGGAAAAGAGCAGTCCAGGCAGAGGGAAGAGCTAGTGTATGTGGTTTAAAAACAACAACTTTAAGAAAATACTAAAAAAGCATAACCCTTCTCTAGTATTATTTTTGACTTTTGGTTTATCAATAATCAAACATTAAACTCAGTAGCTCTAGAAATAAAAATTTATCTAGCTAGATGGGCATTTCAGGTACAGGGAATAGTGTGTGCACAATCAGGATGTATTGGGCCATACATTTGGGAAAAGGATTTCCATTTTGTTTTCTGTAGCATATGGATCATGAGCAAAGAGAAGAAATAGAAGAAATAGAACTAGGGCTGAATGTTACATGAATTTAATGCCATATTAAGGCTATTAGTCTTTATCCTGTATTAGAAGCCATTGACTATGAACAGGTGTATGACAGTCAAAATTTTTAGTGTCCCTTTGCCAAGCAATGCTCTAAGCATTAGGAGTACATCCCTGAATCAAACAGATGAATATTTCTATTCTCATGGAGCTCATAGACAAAAAAAGTGAATTATAGACTATGTTAAAATGTGATAAGTCCTACTGAAGCAAGGAAAAGTAGAGCACAGTAAGGCAAGTCAGGTATACCCAGAGGAGGTGTTTCCATTTAAACAGGATGGATATAGTAGGGCTCACTGAGCAAAAACTTGGGAGGGGATGGTGGTGGTGATGGATTGAGCTATATGAATAATGGAAAATAGCAGTCCAGGCAGAGGGAAGAGCTAGTGTATTGAGGAACAGTGAGGTGGTCAGCATGACTGAAGCAGAGTGGATAAAACGGAAAGAAGTAGGAGGTAATGTCAGAGGGATATAGCAAGTATGCAGATCCATAGGGCCTTCTTTGTAGGCTATTATAAGGATTTTTACTTTCACATGTAGTAAAAATAGTGTCATTGGAAAGCATTGAGCAAAAAAGTGACCTGATCTGATTTTGATGTTAATATTCAATAGTATCACTTCAGTCTCTTCAAAATTAACTGTAAGAGGGTGAAAACAAAAGTAGGGAGACAGATTAAAAGGCTATTCCAGAAGTCTAGGTAAGAGTTGATGGTAGTTGGAATGAGATCTCTGCTTTAAGAAGAGGACTTTGGCAGTGAGAAAAGAGTTGAAGCAGAGGTAATTATTAGGAGGTTGTTGCTTGCTGATGATTAGAATCTAAACTAGGATGTTTTGAGTGAGGATGAAAAGGGAACTGCAGGAAAATTACCATGGAATTTGACAGCTGCTTGGCTATAGGGAATGAAGGAAAGGGAGAAGACCAAGGTGGCAGGGGAATCTTAAGTCTGGATAAATGGAATGCAGATCTAATCATTAATAAATGTTACCCCCCTTTGTGAAAGTCTGACTCAGACATTTTGCCCACTTCCTGCTCATGTAGTGCTCATTGTAGACCCATTTTCCCCACCTGCACCCACCTAGAAATGGTATGACTTTTAGAATTGTGGCAATATTAAGGAATAATTAGGAATGTAAAATTTAAAAATTCTGAATAATCTAATTAGCATATAGCTTGTATAGGGAGAATAACTAACTGATTAGCATCCAAAGAGCATAAAGTATATTGGTCAAATTGAGTTTAGTAGATGACATGTAAAATGTGTTGGGGAAGGACTGTGGGTGCCAGGGGAATGCTCTTGCCAATGATGCTTGACCCCCTAGGTAATGGTGGCAAAAGGGAAGTTACCTACAAAGTGGTGTCTCTGAATTTGATATTACCATGAACTGTTTCAATTCAGTAATTCAATCCTAATGTTCTAGAGCTTAATTATACTCACTGAAAAGGCCACATGTTGACTAAGATTTAGTATCAAGTAATAACCAGATCCGTGGTCCTTTGGGAATTTACTCATCTTCTTCAAGCTTCAGTTTTGTCAATTTCAAAATGAGAGGTTTTGACTTGATGCTCTCAAATTCCATCTAACTTTAATAGTCTCTAACTCTATAATGTGTGATTTAATATGGACAAAAATATGTTTACTTAAAAAATAGAAAAACACTCAAGTTTTATCCCATAGACAAGGTGATAATGTTGCTACTGTTACTTTTTATGTTGTTTCTGCTCTCCTATTAAACTGTCAACATTATATTAAAAACTGAGATATAGATTTAAAGAAGTCCACACATATGTGTACCTTGCCATAGAGAATTTGACCAAATAAAATTATATTTTCCCCTAATTTACATTCTAAATTTGAAGATATAGATTTGTTTCTAGTCTTGAGCTTATAATCCCACAGGCTGGGGAGAGAAGAAAAGCAGGTGTTGCTTGAAGAACTGTATAATCTGTCTAATAATAACACAGGTGGACAGGTACATATCCAGATGGTAACAGAATATTTGAGGCACTTTTGAGGCTTTGACATTTTGCACACTGATTTTACATTACAGGAGATCATGAAGCTTGTCATTGTGCATAAAACACTTTCCAGTAATCCACAGGGAAAATTAAAGAGAAAATACCAGCTGGCGATAGTCCTAGGGAGAGCTCTCTTAAAATAGATTCCTTTCTGATATAACAATTCCCCCCTCTTTTATTTTCCTCAGGCAATAAAGATTGATTGGGGTTTGTGTCTGCATGTGAAGGCATTGTAGAAGTGTAGATCCCTGAGGGAATCAATGGAATGAGAGTAGAAAATGAAATGTGTAGATAATAGGGTATTTGTCCCAGCTGATTGAGAGTAGGGTGATCTTTACAGCTTTTGGTTGGTGCTATTTGAAAACAATTTCATGAGATCCTGAGACCAAATAATTCTTACTTCCTTAAAACTCATAATGGACTTCTCCCCATCAGTAAGAAGACCATATTTTGCTCAGTAAAAAGGGATGTGAGCATGCATGACCAAGTTGATATATATCATTAATTTATGTTGTAGGAAATAAATGTACATGATGTAGCAGAAGGGTTAATTTGAATTCCTAACAGGCAATTTAAACTAAACCTGTTCTTTCCTAATCTTGTCATTTGGTTGGCAGTTCAAAATATTTGTAATATAATAACTGCCCTTTATGCTAATTGTATCCTATCTAATAAAGAGATAATATGCAAATTGACCATCACAGCATAACAAAAATGGCTGTGCCCTCAGCTGAGGCTGAGTTCCCTTAAGGAGTCTTAAAGAGCCATCAGCAGAGACCTGAGGCTGTGCCCCCTGCCTGGCGGGGCTTCATGGGGAACCTCAGGTTGTGCCTCCTGGCCTGGGCCAGAGGACCTCCAGGCATGTCTCTAAGCTGGCACCAGGCCATACAACCTGAGGCAGTGCCCCACACCCAGTGGGGCTTGACGGGGGTGGGGCCGTCTGGGTCTGGATCTTGCCCAATGGGTTGAGGCCATTTGGATCTGGATCTCACCCAATGGGGTAGGAGCATTCAGGTCTGTGTCTCACACAATTTTGAGGTGCATGTGAGTAGGCAGGGACTTGACTCTGGTTCCAGTAGCATGCCCCATATTCTGACAGGAGGGAGATTTTCACATACATTTTACTAATTTTCTTTCATCTCTGACACTTCTATTATAAAGAAAGGGCAAATAGCAATATTAAATTATTACCTCTAATTAATTCCCTTTTAATGTGCATGAATTTTGTGCACTGCATCACTGGTGTTATTGTAAGATCTTCTGAATCAGGAAGATTACTAAATTATTAGATGTTACTTTGCTTACTTTAGTATTGCTTTATTACTTTAGTATTATTGTATTCTGATTCTTCAAATCATGGTGCCCATTTATATTATGTGGTAGTTTTTATTAACCACTGTATTTTATTAACTAGAATACACCATTTCCAGTGATTCTCAGCATTAGAAGTAGAAAGTCACATCCAAAAAGTGTGTTGGAGTTTTTGAGAAATGGGCATATATTTTAAAAAATCACTAAGTTCAGTTTTATCTAGACTATTTATAAGGGTGTCCTTTAAATACCCATCAGATATACTGTAACAGAGTTCTAGACAGAGCTGTTGTGTTACATTTCATTACTATTAAATGTGACATTTTTCTTATTTATATATTTTTAAATTTATCTATTGTAAAAACATGATCATTCATTCTAAAACTTTGAAAAAACTTGAAAGAGGCTTGCTGTATCTTTTCTTATGTTTCATGATGTCTGATCCAAATGTGACTTTGGGACCTTGCACACCAACTTTAGACATCCCCAACTCACCCTTCATTTTTAATTTTTAAAAAGTTGTTTTTTTACCTTTTGTAAAAAAAAATGTGCTTGTTAATATATTTAAACTGTCTGATTATTTTCACTAGTTATACTTGATAAAAATAAAAATGAGAATTATTCAATTATTGTTTTATCTATAAGTTTCTCTTATTGACAGGTTTTTTTTTCTTTTGGTTTTAATAGAACATTCAAATAAAAACTTTGGCAGATGATGTGGTAAGGTGGTCTTTAGTACTATGTTATTACATTATTTATGCATGTTGCTTTTATATTAAAGTGAGTGGACATTACAGCATTGATATATGTAAGATATAGAATGTTTGGATGTTTAGAAAGTGCAGTAGAATGGAAGAATTTTCAATAGAGTAACTTCTTTGTTTGAATTTTAGAGTAAAATAATTATATGAAATCTCAACAAAATATTGATATTATCATCTTGATATATACTTAACCAAATTAAAAAAAATCTCTATGTAAATATCATTCTGGAAAATCCAGATGTCTTCTTTTTTGATAGCTAAGTAAATTGACTGTGATTATGTTAACTAGTAATGTGAATATTGGAAGAAATTAATGTAACTTAGAAATGAGCTTAAGTTCATTATGTTAGTCAGATATTTAAAATCCTTAAATATTTTTGAGCTGAGTATGTCACAGTAAACCTTATTAAAAGTTATGGGCTTTAAAATTTAAATGTGCCCTTTTATAGCTAAACTTTAAAGAAACAGTATTGCAAGCAATGGCAATTTTTTACTTGGTGAAATTACCTATCTACAAATAATATAAAATATTGTTAGTAATTTAAGTAGGTGAAAGTATGTGGATTAACTTCATTTTCTTATCAAGATATAGCTGAAAGCAAAAGCCAGTTTTCTAGATAGAAATGAAGGGCATAGTGGAAGATCAAATATATATGTAAATAATGCTACTCGGTAGAAAAGCGAGCTCTGCAAAAGTAAATATTAAATGATATGAAGGGACAGGAACAGAGATATGTTGATTTAAAGGTTGATTGCATATTTAAATGCTTTTATGTCCACCATATCTTTTAGTGGAATTTGACTGTTGAATATATAATCAGCTTATTTGGGATTGCTTAATATTTTTTTCTTCAATTGTTTGGAGATATACTATTGTACATATCTAAATCAACTTAATTTTTCTCAAAGAATTTTTAAAAAATCGAAAATATCATTCAAGATGTTTATTATAAAAAAAAAACCTTAATGTGAACACTGGGATAGGAACTAGAGATTCATGAATTTAATGATTCACGTTTTCTGTGAAATGAGAGTTGGTCTGGATGATTTTTCAAGTTTCTTCCAGCTCTAGAATATTATGATTTTTATAAACCCTTTGTAAGCAACCATGCACTAAAATCATTTTTGTAATCCTAAATAAGCTGCTTAAAACTAATTTATTTCAAAGCACACCTTTTAATAAAAAAAAAGTGTTCTTTGAACTAATATGAAAAGTCTATTTTTTTTTTTTTTTTTTTTTTTTTTTTTTTTTTTTTTTTTACTGAGGGTCAACAGAAACTTATATAAGTTTCAGAAATGGCTTCTTGATGCTTTTTGTATTGTTGAAGTAATGTATAAGGACACAGTAACCTGGCAGTGAACATGCATAGTCCTTGCATCTGCAATGTGTCTGCTTATTTAACTCGAGCTGACAGTGTGCATGTGCTTCCTAACAGAAACCAGAATAAAACTGAGATGCATTCAGTTTTATGGTCCTTACTAATTTTTGATGTCTAATGTTTTGTGCTTTAAAACAGAATGGCCTGTTTATGTGCAATTGGAGTTGTTAACCCACTTTATGTGAAATAGAAAGCTAATTATTAGAGATTGTACATGGAATCAATGATTCAGAGTTAATATGCATTAAATAGCAAGTTCTTCATAATAGTGTTTATAGGATTAAGATATTTCTGTTTATGTCGTGTTTCCAGTAAATGGAAAAGGTGATGTCTTGTTGGTTCTACTTTTTAGGGCAGATAAAAAGGTAGGGGAAATAATAGTAATAGTAAGAACAACAATAGTAAATAGCAGCTAAATGCACTAGGCATATCACTTTATTTTACCTCACAATAACCATATGGTGTAAGTAATATCATTATTTACTTATGTGACATATATTAAGTCATTGTGCTACATTATTTTTTATTTTTATTTTTTAAATTCATTTCAGAGAGGAATGGAGATGGAGGGAGAGATAGAAACATCAGTGATGAGAGAGAATTCTGTTTCATATACCCAACAAGGCTCCCTCCTGCACACCCCCAACTAGGGATTGAGCCTGCAACCCAGGCATATGCCCTTGGCTGAAATCGAAACTGGGACCCTTCAGTCTGCAGGCCGATGCTCTATCCACTGAGCCAAACCAGCTAGGGCTCATTGTGCTGTTTTGGAAATGAGGAAACAGACTAATTTGCACAAGCAAACTGAGCTGGTAAAAGGCAGATTCATACTCGGGTAGTCTGCCTTCAAAGTTTGTGCTCTTAACCATTGTACTCTACACTGAGCAAGTACTCACAGACATTGTCACAATTTTTGGCACCCTGAGGAAGAGAATCATTACTATAATTTCCCCTTAGAACTGGATATCGGAAGCTCTATTTATTTTCTTTCTCCTTTTCTCATGATTTGAAATTTGCCAACAAAGATATATTCTCCCTGAAACAACCCACAGGACTTTGATGCAGGACTTTTTGTTTACCTACTTACTGTGCAAAACAGAAATGACAGAGAACTGAGTTTTACTTTTTAAGGAATACTTTTCAGCCCCCAGACCACTGAGACTGGTGAGCTACTTCAGGGTTTCAAAAGAGTACAATCTCTATCTGGAGCTTGCTGCTTAAAATAACATTTTGTCAAAAGGCAATAATGTTGTATGTCATACTAAGTGCCACGTTGATGTTTCAGTTTCTTTCTTCTTTTTTTTTCTTTCTTTTTATTTTATTTTTTTAAGATTTTCAATCTCCTTTTTTTAGGGCTTATTTGTTGTTGTTTTCTCTTTTCAGCGTGACCGAATCACAAGTTTTAGAAAATCTACTGTCAAAAAAGAAAAACATTTTATTCAACATCCTATTGATTCTCAAGTTGCAATGAATGAATTTCCAGCACCTCAGCCGTTATTCGATGAACGATCTTTGAATTTGTCAGAAAAGGAAGTACTGGATCTCTTTGAAAAAATGATGGTAAGGTGGACCCCTATTTTTGTTGTAATTTAAAACTGCATGTGCCCAGAATAATACTGGGTTTTAAGAAGGTATGTTTTAATGGACTGTGTTTATGTCATGTACAGGACGGACCAGAAACTTGGCTGATACAGCAGAACTATTTTTCAAAAGTATCTGTTTTTTGAGTTAAACATTCTTATCTCTTCCAATTTGAGCTCCTAAAAGCAGAGGCAGTCTTACTTACTTTTGATCTGTAGCATTTTGTAGTCTCTGGCACATCAAATCAAGTTTTCAGATAACTAATTTGTGTTCCTGTTTCTATAAAGCAAAACAGTTCTAAGTCCTCTTTGTTGCACAAGGTATCTTTTTGGGTATATGAAACAGAATTGGATGGGAAGAAGTGATAAAACCAGTAGAGGGGCAGAGGAATTAATTCCTCCAAGTTTGTTCTATAGCAGTAGTCACACAATCAATATTTTCTAGCATGTTGCTTATATTTTATAGCTTGTGGTCTATATTATCTGATATAATAAAAGGCCAGCTGTGTCACGACCAGAACGACCAGAGACCAGACAACTAGAGCCCCTCTCTGGCTGGCCCCACCCTCAAGCAAGTACTCAGGGGCTATCAGCCAGGCAGGCAGCATGGTTAGGGGTAATCAGGTAGGCAGACTGCCCCTCCCAGGGCTTGCCCTTCCCCCTAGCAAATAAAGAGGGAGGCCCAGGTCAGCCAAGCCATTGCACCCCAGCCTGTTGCCTGTAGAGGGAGGCCACTGGTGGCAGGGGAGGGGGAGTAGCACTGCACAAATGGCAAACAGTGGCAACCAGAGGAAAGAAAGCCTCTATAGGCCCTGATCTCAGGTCAGGCCTAGGGATCCTACCTGAGGGGTCCCGGATTGTGAGAGGGTGCAGGCCGGGCTGAGGGACCCCCCCCCCTTGCATGATTTTTTTGTGCACCCAGCCTCTAGTTTCTTATATTAGATAATAAATATAATGTTTTGAGTATTCAGTAGTTTATGCTAAGAGAAGGGAGAGATGAGAATTTGGGCCATATTACATTGGTTTGCTTGACCAGAAAAGAAGTGGAGATCCTGACTCATGATTTCTTTATTCTCTCCCACTTAGCATTGTAATATTTTCAGTTGGATGCCTATTTATCTAGAGTTAGAGTTCATAGGAGTTTCCAAGGTCCCTTCACCCACACCAAAATAAAAGGTTACTAATCACTGCAAATCCAGACCCTTCTACTCTACTCATGGAAGAGCTTGTCCCCACCCTCCCCACCCCCACTGTTTCCCTCCTGTGCCTAGAATAGGAGGCAATAGGCCTTCAATAAACATCAGTTGAAAGTTGTTGAATGAAGACAAACTTTATTCCCTTTATCTTTAAACTTTTCCTTGACTATTCTATCTAGCCACTATTCCTTCTATCTAGCTTGTCCCCTGACACAAATCCTGACATTTGTGCCCTCTTCAGCCCATCCTCCTCATCCTGCATACACCCTTGTGCGCTCTTTTTTGTTCCTGCTCCTTCCATGCCATCTTTGAACTATCATTCAGCAGCCCTTTCTCTTGTGAAGCCTGCTATCTGCTGACCTTCCTTAATGATAAAAGCACCTGGCTATCCTTTTGACTTTTCCCTTGATTTTGGTGATTTCAACTATTATGTTGACAACCCCATGTTTTTTTGCTCTTAGTTCCTTGATTTTCTAAACTCTGGCTTCTACACCTATGCATTTAGCTAATTATTGGCATGAGTATACCTTGGTTGGACTGTGTCATTCTTTGGAATGATTACACCTATGTAAGATCTTTAACTCTGAAATTCTCCTCATAAGCTAAATAATCTATGCTACCTCTCCCATGTTCCTAATTTTACACAGTATGTATTGTGTAGTGGTTATGAACAAGGCCTTTGGGGTCATTCCGACTTGGATTTGAATTCTGGCTTTGCCATTAATCGTATTAACTTGCAAAGGTTATATAAATCTCTGTACACTTTATTTTCCTTAACTGTAACAAAGACATAAAAGGATCTACTTCATATGCTTATCTTAGAGGATTAAAGGAGATGACATTCCTGGAATAGTGCCTGGCATATAAGCTCTCTGTATAAGTAATTTCATGAATGTTTGTTACATTACCTTTCTTTATCAAATAAAGCTCTATTCTTTCTTTAATTGCCAATATTTCTATAATAGATCACGTAGATTGCCCCTCAGTTTACCAATTGGTTGCCTTATCTTAATCACTCCAAAGCACTGATGATAACAACAGAAGCAGAAACATTCCTTGATTTAACACTTATTTTTTTAAATAGTTTTTTTTTCCCTCTTCACTCAAACTTCACTCAAATTATATTTACCGCTTTAATCTGCCAATTGGTTACTAATTTTTATTTTTTTTTATTTTTATTTTTTAAAATATATTTTATTGATTTTTTTTAGAGAGGGAGAGAGATAGAGAGAGAAACATCTACCAGCTGCCTCTTGCACACCCCCCACCAGGGATGTGCCCGCAACCAACGTACATGCCCTTGACCGGAATCGAACCTGGGACCTTTCAGTCCGCAGACCGACGCTCTACCACTGAGCCAAACCGGTTTCGGCTTGGTTACTAATTTTTACAGAATTGAAATAGTTCTTGGAGTTTTATCAGTGGCATTGCCCTAGTCTAGTTTACTTAAGCTTGACACTTCCAGGTGATCTTGCACTCCATTGGCATTCTCAGTCACTTCCAGTTGCTTGCCAAATCCCATTGGCTTTGCTTTTGCAATGACTTTTACATCTGTTTCCTCGAATGTCCTCTAGGTACTCTTGCCCTAGTTTCGACAATATCCCTCTCTAGTTGTTTCTTGTAGAATACTAAAATAGCCTTCTAACTGGTCTTCCTCCTGTCCTTCAGGTTTTGCCTGTTCTAATCCAATAATGCCCTATTAATGATCAGAAACATTGCTCTGATGTTTTAGTAGGCCCTGATGTTTTCAGACAATTATTTTATACATTTCAACTCCAGTCCTTCAACTGTGCTCCTAGATGACTATTTCACACCTGTATTTTGATGTTCAATCCTCAGAACTCTTATTTATCTTTATACTCTGCTGATTACCTTGCTGCTTAATTTATTGAAGCAATCAGAAGAAAACTTCCACCACCATATATATCTACGTAACTTTTAGTACCTGCACTCACATAGTTTGTCTTGCTAACTGTCACCATAGGTGAACTTTTTATGTTCCAAATCCTTTCATTTGTGTACAAGGTTCCATTCCTTTTCAACTACTCAGGGACATTGATCCAATAAATTTTCTCTTCTCTCTTCTGTCATTCCAAGCAGCATACAACCTGTCTCATTTTATAAAACCTTTTCTTGACCTTATCTCCCTTGCCAGAGTAATGCTTTATTTTTACTCTCCTTTGAAGCAAAATACCTCACTTAATTTTGTTTATATTGATTGTTTCTGATTTCTCACCTCTCACTTTCTCTCCTAAACGCACTCCAGCCAGGCTCCCACCTCACCATTACATCAAGGTCACCAAAGATCTTCATGCTGCTGAATCCCAGTTCTTAGTCTCATTTTGATTGACTTATCAGCATTTGATGCAGCTGATCATTCTCTTCAATTTGAAATGCTCCCCTCTTCACCCCCAAACATTGATTTTATTTCCTCTTGTGTCTTTGAGATGCTTGACAAGAAATAAGTTATTTTAACATTGCTGATACAATTATTATTTGGAATTTCTGGGTAATGACATACTTGGTGAAACTTGGTGAAAGCTTAAATAATGAAAATCAATATTCAAATATAATCCTATCTTACTCTGATCATTGAAACTTGTTATGCCTGAGGATCATGTTTTGTCTATAACAGTAGTTCTCATTGTTTAGGCTTGTAGATGTAGATAACAGGGGACATTCAGCTAAAACTTTAATTACTGCAGGACATGTGTTGTTTTTTTTTTTTAGGTATTGACTTATTTAATTATAAGAAGTCTTAGTTACTAATAATTCATTTAAAAATTACTTGATTCTTTAGAGCTAAGTAAAATCGTGGAACAAGTCTCGTTAATTAAAATATCGGAGTGGTCAGGTTTTACTTTACTAGTGTATTAGCAGATTACAAATGTTTCATTGAGTGTCATCTATGCATTGTATGTCATCTTTCATATTATGGATACTCAACGAAACAATAATGGACTTATCTTCTGAGTAATGGTATCAGTGGCTACTGCTGATAGATTTAAAGCTCCAAATTTGAAACTTTTAGGTGATTGCTTATTGTATAGAGAACAAACAGTTTATTAGCTGTGTGTCTTCAATAGTTTGTAAAAGTGAATTTTGTTCTTAGAGTATGGTCACTGACTATTAATTGAAAATTCGGGAGTATTTATTTTTTATTTATTTTAAATTTATCTTTATTATTCAAAGTATTACAGATGTTCCCCTTTTACCCCATTGACTTCCTCTAAGGAGGTGTTTCTTTGATTAAAACTTTTTATAATAAAAACAGCCACTTGTTTTTATATAATTGTTATCATTACCTGAATGGGGTAAATTATAATTGCTCTTTAAGATTCTGTTCCCCTGTTCACCCATAGTCATGTTTTAAAATCTTGCCAAAACCAGTTTGGCTCAGTGGATAGAGCATCAGCCTGTGGACTGAAGGGTCCCAGGTTCGATTCCGGTCAAGGGCATGTGCCTTGGTTGCGGGCACATTCCCAGTAGGGGGTGTGCAGGAGGCAGCTGATTGATGTTTCTCTGTCATCGATGTTTCTAGCTCTCTATTCCTCTCCCTCCCTCTCTTTAAAAAAAATTAATAAAATATATTTAATAAAATCTTATATAAGTGGATAAATGTAATGGGACCAAAACAACAATACTGTTTCCACATTTTGGGGGGGATAACTTCAAAGGATGACTGAACTATATACTAGTAGTCCATATCATCTCTAACCCAAATTCAAATTTGAATAAGGTTCATATTAGTAGTGTTTCTCACATTAATCAGAGGCATTTTGAA